GGGCGGGGGCTTTTGCCCTTCGGAGGAGGGCCGTGGGGTACGTCGTCCTCTTTCTGGTCATTGGAGCTCAGCCTGCCTGTGCAACACAGCCGCCGCGCCCCCCCCCCCCATTTGTGGAAGCGCGAGAAACGAAGAGCAGCATTGATCCCCTGTGCTGCCGGCGTGCGAGAAAGGGAGCTTGGCATCTTTTGTATACACGCATACACCTCCCCCCTCCCGTCCCGTCCTTGCGAGTGGTTATAATAGGAGTGGGTACGAGAGAGGACACTGTACGCAAAACCCACTTCGGCAGTGGTTTCCTTTAAAAAAAAGCTGGGGTCGCTTTGCAACCGTGAAACCGTAGCCGTTAGCATGGTTCCATTTTCGGATTTAGATGGGGTCTGTCTGTCAAACAGGAATTTTATATTTCAGTAATGTGCAATTGCAGTATACTGTAGGACAAAGACACGTCTGCTGGGCATGTTGCCTTGCTCGCCCTTCAGAATCAGAAACTATTAGACTTCTTTTTCAAAGCAGGGTGCGAGGTAAGGCTTCTTTGTGGTTTTCTTGGAAGTTGTCTGCGTCTGCGTACATATGGTGCAGCATTTCTTTCTGTAATACTTTGGTGAGGTCTGTGTTATGTTCAGCTAAATATTCTTCCCAAAAATGAGGAGGCACCTTCAATGTGATCATTGCCAGAGTGTGCATAGAATCTTCTTTAGCATTCGTGCTCCAAAGTCTGATCATGTGTGCTTGATTAAGTACTTACCTTCTTTATAATTGCTCAACATTTGGTGCCGTAGCTGTGATAAACTTCCGTCTGCACATATGTTAAGAAGCCATGTAAGTAATTTTCCTAACCCTAGTGCCACTTTTGATTTCGGGTACTTCAGTGTAGTACCTCTGTGTAGTTCTGTCTACACTACTTTGTTCTCAAGTAAAGGGGTTTTTTCTTAAGATTCTGCAAATGAGGTAGAGTCTGATAGTACCTGTTAAGGCTAGCAAATTTTTACTATAAGGCATAAGCTTTCATGAGCTGTAACTCACTTAATCAGATGTGCAGGGTGACTTAACTGATAAAATATTTTAATACATAGGGATGAGGCAGTGGGGGGAAACAGATGGAAGATAGGGTGGTTATGCAGATGAAGATTAATGGGGGACATATTACAAGTACTATGTCCATTAACAATTACTAGGTGTTAAAAACTCTGTATTCAGACATTTAGAAGTTTTATTTCTTATGTGTCAGCTAAATTATATCTCTTCATAATATATCTGAGGTTTTATTTTGTAAACTGGTTTTGTTTTGTTTTGAATTTCTGCAGTTCCCTGAACGATTCTTCACCTTGCACTAAAGGTTTTGGATTGTATGAGGAAATAATCAAATTGCTTAGCATCCATAAATTTCTTGAGACTATGATATTAGTGTCTTTTAAATAGGATGAGAAATCAGTGGTTAAACAGAAAAAGGAGAAAGAGTCCAGGATTCTTTGTCCAACAGAAAAATGGGAAACTTGGGAAAGTAATGGAATGTATTATCCTTTGGTGTGATGGAAGTGCTTTTTTAAGAAGTGGTTTTATTTACTGAAAATCTGTATTAAGTTTTTTTGTGAATAAAAATCTAAAAGTTGGAGAAAAACAGTTGTGTGTATTTTACATTGTACATAAGCTATCTTTGGATGTTCAGAAAGAAAAAAAAATGGGGTAATGACAGTCTGTCAGCTACAGAAGAAAGCTATATATGATTGGACTTGTTTAGTATTTGAATGACTGAGTTCCAGGAAATCCCAGGGCTATAAGGCAGTCTGGGAAATTGAAAAAATATCCCAGAAAAAGGCAACAACATACCACTTCCTTTTGTTGCCAAGAGAACTACTATACTGTGTCGAGTTCATGTGGTTACCATGAGTCTTACGTCTGATGATATGTGCTGCAGATCTGCAGTTTTCTGTGTCCATTGTGAGAATCTAATTGCCTTTGGCTGAATGTAGGTATAATCTTTCAGAAGAGAGCAAATTTTGCACAAAAAAAGTTTTTTGCAGTCTTGGGCAGTCAGATCAGTATGTCAGGGGGAAGGGCCAGGATGAGATAACACATTCCCATTCTTCCTCATGTCACGTGTTGATCTTTTCATTGATTGCCTGGAGAACAGCATAAGATTCAAGGTGCTATAATACGATGAGTGTATGGGGCTATTCTGGTAACAGACTTCTGTTAACTACACAAATCATTTTCAGAATGTCATTTCTATTTTTTTCCTTCTACTAGGATAGCACTTGAAAAACAGGTATCTAGGTAACATCGAATTGGAACTTATTATTTACAATTAGATTACTTTTAATTTTCTCATTTAAAAGGAACACATTTACATATTTGAAGTTATAATCCTGTGTTCAATTATCTGCAAATAATCTTAGAATCAGCTCAAATATGATAGCAAAAATATATATAGTTTAACTTTTCTTCACCATTGCTGGAAACTGTATTTATGTAATCAGTTTTTCCTTCATTTTAAGTTTGGAGTAGTGTAATATATAGCTATGATTTATTGGGGATTAATGGTGGTTAATGGATGATGGGTTTATTTATTTATTTATTCAATTTGTATGGCTGCCCATCTCAAACAAGTGACTTTGTGCTGCAAACAATTATAAAATTAATTAAAACTAAATTACAATCGCAATATAAAAAAATACATTTAATTTATGGGATTACAGTTTATAGAAATGATATTGTTCCTCACAACTTATATAGGATAAATTTGGTAGGCATATTTAGAAATCATATTTAGATGTTTCCTTAAATAACCAACAGTTGGTAATATGTAGTCCTGAATAAAGATAGAAAGGGATAATAAGATTTAAATATTCTCACATGGGCAGACAATCATTTAGTGACCTGCTTTTGTATGTTACAGTAATGGTGGTACTCCCGTGAAAAGAATTATCTTGCTCCTCCTTTTTATTGTTAAATAACTATTGGTGGGAAGTAATATAAATATATAATTGGTGCATAAAAATACATTATACGTTTTCTTTTATTGTTGACTTTTTATCAGCATGCTGTGAAATGGATACTGTGACAATGTCATATAGCCTCACACTATATTTCAGATTGATTCATACTGTATTTGTTTGATAATGTTTCTATATATTACTACCAGTATTCAGGCAAGAACAGATGTAAGGTTTATATATATTTGTTTCTAGTAATCGCTTTCAGAATGCTAAGCAATTCTGCCTATATTTTCAGAATATTTATTTATTTATTTAAAAACTACCGTTCATATTCTTCTGATTTGAGAACATATATTAGTGTATTGACTCAAATTTCCAACATTAGATTATGCCATCATATTTCAACAGTAAAATCTAGAAAAGAAGGTGTATGGTGGTATTCCAACAGCTGAATGTGGGCCATAGGTTGGTTAATTCCAGTTTACATATGCATAGATTTCACTGTATTGTAGAATATGAAAAATATTCACAAACTTAAGACTTTAGCAGAGAGAAACCCATAGGTGAAATTAAAAGTGCAGAGGAAGAGTTACAAATGATTGCTAACTGCAATGTGGCATATAGTGTGGAGCACATACCAACTTATATACAAACACCAGTCCGGATCATTTTGACAAATACTTGTTTGATCATTTCTTTCTAGGTTATGGAAATTGGAATTCTGGAACAAATAGAGGTAAGTACAGTTTTAATGGAATGTTAATATTTGTTTTATAGATAACTCAATCACACTTATTTAACCAGAAAAGAATACCAAAATGTCACATTCTTTATTAATTCAGTGTATGATCTTTCTAATATTGTCTTTTTCATTTACTATTAAATCCAAGTTTATATAACAGCACCTTTTCTTGTAAATTAGTAAAATTGCTGCCAGTGCTTAGCTGTAGCTAATCTTTGACCTTCATATTGAATTTAGGTACCCCCTATGAGCTATAATAGCAAGATTTTATTATATTTATAATTCCATGCGTAGTTACCCAAATGTATCCTAATTATTTCAACAAGTTTTAAAATATTGTAGGATTTCACCTAATCTGGCTTTTTTGCCTAGCACTTCTCTAAATATATAAGGTAGAACAAAACCCCATAGACTTCATGGATCCATAGAAATTCACATTTTCACATCAGTCTTATGCATACTTGTCAATTAACCTCATGAAACACAGTAGGACGTAGTTTCAAATATATAAACTGAATAATTGTATGATAAAGATTTCAGATCATATCATCCTCTGCATCTTTGAGAAACAATACAATGCCAATGGAGCACTTCAGTCATGTGGAAAATATACTGATGATTTAGGTCTCCTGTTTGTTTGAGGGTTATAAGTACCATTTTAAATGAAATTGAACTTCAGAACAAATGCAGAATATTCTTCAATCAAGTGACTGAAATCTCATTCCCTAACTGGAATAACCTTATTTCAATGGTTTTCAGAGATTAAGCTGCATAAGGCTTTTGCAGCAAAAATAGCAAAAGAAATATGTTTGCTTTCATAGACTTCAGTTGCATGAAGTATTCATGTTAACCTGAGTTACACTATACATAAATATGTAAATATATATTTTTGTCTGTACTCAAGAAGTAGCCTTCCTTAATTAACTCCTTGGAAGTTAGTTCTGTTAAATACGTTTGTTTCTTCTTGTAAATATTTTTCTTTACTTTTAATTCTTAATTTGTGTTTTTTTGCTTACAATACTAAATTAAGCTGAAATAGGTATTGTTCATTCTTTTCTTCCACAATGTATATTCTTTTCCATGACTTAGGAGGGTACCCCTGTGTATTTGCCCAGTTATGCAATTCTGTTATGTTAATTCATAATTTTTGAATGGGCAAGACCTGAGTACTTTTCATGGAATATTTCCTTTTTCAGTGAAGAAAAGGTTTATCAGTCTTCTAAACTACAGTTCCATTGCAGATTTCTATTTCCAAACATTGGGTAGTATTATTGCATGAAGCAATAAATGTTTTGTTGTAGGCAGCTTCCTAGCAAACTGAATAGACTGGAAATAACAAAGTTATTTCTGTTTTTATATCCTATGGCCTTTTCCCAAAATTGATCTACTAATGGGATTGAAGTATTATAGGTGGGATAATACAGCTGCAACATAAGTTTTAGATATAGAAATGAAAGTTTATCAGGATATGTATCATATACTGCTGTTACAGAAATAAGATGTTTTAATTTTTATGTGTTATATTGGAATTAGATACAGAAATTTATTTATTTTTGCTAACTGTAGCCACTGTACAGTGGGGAGAGAGAATATTCTTGGTGCTGCCAATCTTATATTGCGCATGCATAGCATTCTAAACATCTAAATAGAAAACTCAGTAACTGCTTCTCATTTCAGGTTATGAAGACTATAATTATGGATATGGATACGGTCAGGATAACTCTGGCAATTATGGGTATGGTATGGCCACTTCAAACTCTTGGGAAATGCCTAATTCAAATGCAGACATGAACTTTAACGCATCCACTGGCACCAGCGCTGATGATGTAATTTCAAATTTTAACCAGCGCTTAGATATGGTATCTCATCTAGAAACTGAAACGATGCAAGGAGGACATTATGGCTCAGGTGGAGACAGGTGAGTGTAGAGACAAAGTTGTAAGGTTCAGTAATAGTTATAGAACAGGCTAGTTTCTGCTTCTGAAAGGCATGTTGATCTAATCTTGTGCTGTTGCCTAAACATTGCTCCCTACTACATACAGAAAACTTCTGGGAAATACAGAATTAGCTAAGTTTGTATTTCTAATTGAATTTTGAAAGTAAAGTGCTTGAACATGTCTTTGAGTAAGGAAAATATGGTAGTTGAATTGTAATACAATGTTCTGAAATAAATGCAGGTTTGAGTGCCTTTGACCAGCTTCTGAAAATAGTGACCTATCCATAGAGTGCACTTCTACATCCCATTGAAAATAATGGCGCATCCATTAGGCAGAGCACTTAAATTTCTCTGGATTTTGCTTCAGTTGGAATTAAAAAGGGATAAAGAGAAAATTTTATAGAATCTCCCCTTAATGTACTGTCATTGTTAATTTAATGCACATGTATACATTAACTTAAAGCAAATGCATACATTTAGAAGATTTACATTTTTGCTTTGTTTTTGCTTTTGAAATACCTGCATATTAAAGTCATTAAATAGATTAAAATAAATTACTTTGTATTTAGATCTGAAATTTAATAATTAAAAAATATTCTTCAAACACTTGATATTTTACACTGTAGAATTATTATATTTAAGGCTTCCTTCTGCATTTTAGATAATACATCTAGAGGTTGGATCAGTATTAGGTCTAAATAGGAAGTACATACTATTTATATTTGGAGCTACTAATACTTAAGGGCTGTCAGAAGATTACTGTATTCCAACTTTTTCTTAATTTCACATTCCTTTGTTGAATAAAAGCATTGTAGTTGAAATATAGTGACTGAATTAGACATAATATTTTGTGTTGTCTTCCTGTTGTATTGACATACATTGACATATACAGTACTAGCTTCCCAAACTAACTTATGGTTTTGTGGAGCCATTTAATGTAATTTTTATTCTCAAAATGCTACTGAATAATTAACTATATTGTTCCACCTAACAATTTTTCATTGCTATAAAAATATATTCAGGAGATTACAAAATCATTTGCAGTTTAATTGGCATGAAATATATTTTTTGTGATACATTATCATCTTTCTATTCATTCAAATAATGTCTCTTACCTTGAGAAAAGGAGCTGTTGCAGATAGCTATGCCATACTCTAATAGGTATTGCTGTTTTTACGACTCATTCCTTATGGGCTAGAATGGTTTCTAAGCATAAAGTTTAATATCAACAGATAACTTATCCAAGTTATTGAGAATGGCTAAAGTAGCAGTTTTGTGCACACTTAAATCAGTGAGATTTCTTTCTCAGCATCTCCCAAATTTCAGTTTTATCATGCAGGGTGGGCACTTTTATTTGACCTTAGTGTGCTAAGGTACACTGGGGCTAAACACTTGAACTAAATTTCCAAGAAAACATCACAGAAAGCACAATTGCAGTGGTGAGCTGTACTATGCTGTACATTGGTATGAGGATTGTAAGATTGGTAGATGGTCCAATTCACTTTGCCTTCATGTTTTTAAAAACTATGTTTTTTATTCTGAGTTAGCTTTTAACGTCTCCTCCTCAGCCATTGTTTCCTTTCCATATCCTTGCTTTCAGATCCTCGATACCAAACACAATTTGTGTGCTTGTGTCCAGTGCTGGTTTATTTAGCACAGCGTGACTTTGTTTTGGCCTGCTGTAGCAGTCAAAACAACATGCTACAGAAATAAAAGGGGCCTAGCTTTAAATACGTCATCACATTTGGATGACTATGCAGACACTTTTAAATGTAATAAATGTAACTTGAATCTTTGCAACTTTTGGAATGCTATCATGAAATAGTGGTAGCTCTAAGCTGTTTCCTACAGAGAAAAATATTCAAGTTAGATTATTTGTCTTAGCCACTCATTATAAGAAGCATAGATTATTTTCTTAGATATTCTATTTTTTTTCTACATTGAAGTGATTACTGGCCAGGTGTCATGTATGAAGTGTTTCATTTTATATAGCTAATGATTTTTGTTTCTTTCAAAAATTGCTTGACAACATAGAATAAATTGGTAGAAACTTATTTTGTAAAGTTATTCCCATGGATTTTATTTGCTTAGCATAGTCAAATATGAATAGAAATTGGTGAATGAATCAGGAATAGATAAAATACAATGATTTGCATGACTCTCCCAGCTGAAAGCATATTTGTAAATGGTCAGATTATTATTATGATTTATTGAGGTTAAACAGAATTATTATTTTATTCAGCCTTTAGATGTATTAGACTATTTATTCACTACTGTAGTGCACAATGGGAAAGCCTCATGATGAGTTGAGCTTTTAATGATTTTACTGAATATAGAACAATTCTTGACTGTTTTCATTTTTATTTTTAATATAACCTGCTTCTACTGCCATTTCTTGGCAGACTCTTTAATATGGTGCTCTGTATGCTACTGACTAGATTCTTTGCTTGCTCTGCAACTCTTGCAGGTATGATACATATGAGTCCTATGACTCAAGGTCTGCACTGAGTGACCGTGATCTGTACAGATCCGGCTACGATTACAGTGAGGCCAAACATGAAAGCGACAATGCCTATGAAGGTCACTATGACAGCTCCTATGGGAACCGCAGGGACCAGTACCACAACAGAGCACGTGACAACTTTGGCCACCGAGGTCAAAACTGGGCCCGAGATGGGAGAAATAACAGACCCATGGCACCTTCATATGGGCGCATGGGTGGACAATGGAATGACCCACCAGTACCAATGGGAGGACGGGGCCATGGCCCCAATAGACCACCGTCCCTTTTTTCCCACAAACTATTCCCTGATTACAACATGTTCCAGGGAATGCGAGGTTTCTCTGGCAATATGCGCTTTGGAGGAGGCAGCATGAAACAGCGAATGAGGAGAAATTGGAAAATGTGGGATGCAGATTTTAAAGTAAGTACCTATGCAGTCTTCTCCATTTGTTTTCTGCTCTTCAGCAATGCCCAGTGTCAAATACTATCAAGAACAGAATGGAAAGGTATCTGTTAAGTGAGTTATTTTTTAATTATTAGAAACAGGTTCCTTGTTTCAGATGTTTACTTTAAAAAAAAAACAACAACTATTCCTGGAAACTCTCATTGCATCCCTTATATGAACCACTGGATCTTAGTAATCTTGGAGAAAAGTCCTTGGGATTGACTAAGAAGTTTTGTATGAAATAGGCCAAGTTAAGACCTGGGCATGTTTTTAGCTATTTGAGGTAATTTGAGTATAACAAGCATATGTCTCAATATATATATTTGATTGATAATAAGAAAATAGCTAGATTTTACATTAGGCTAAATTTACTTCTATGTTTCTCTCCATAGAAGAAAAGGATAAAGAACGAGCCAGTTGCTAATAAACGTAAACAAGCTAACAGTTCTGATGAACCTGATAGCAAAGCAGCAAAAACAGATAACTCAGATAACTCAGACTCTGATAATGGTAAGAGCTTACCGCTAAGGTCTGCCTAGACTGAGAAATAATCCTGTCTTATTTTCATTGCATATTTAGTGTGACAATATAAAAAACACTCTTTTTGACTAAATGTTTCAGCTATTTTGTATTATGCATAGTCACCTGATATGCTGCTCTTTTTAGAAGAAGGGCCTGAAGGAGAAGCTGCTGAGAAGGGTTCTAAAAATGTGAGTTTGAATTTAGTCTTACTACAAAGATTATCATTCTCATTTGATACAATAGAAACAAGGGTTGGAAAGGATGCTTTGGCATGCTAACCCTGTATAGAGATGAATTATGTATTGCTCCTTCTTTTGTTGGACAAAGAACAAAGAGCAGAGGCTAGGGCAGTTGCAAAGGAATGCTTACAGGACAAAGCTGGTTCAAGACACGTTAGTGCCTCAGCTGGAAACAAAATATTCTCCATCTTTACAGTGGGATATATATGAAATATACTTTCTAAGGGAGCAGTTGTACTATACTTAGGTTGGACTCTGCAATGCTATAACTGGTATAACTATGATATTTTCCCCAGTTTTTCAGTCAGATTTATTGTGGTAGCTACTACAACTTGTTAGGTTTCTGAACTGTATAGAATCTCAGATAACCAATTGAAAAATTATTTTTGCATTGTACTCATATAAAGATTCATAAAACCAAAGAGGTGATTGCAAAAGAGAAATATTGGTTAAATCTTTATTGACCTGATCTATGGAAGAATAGCTTTGATGAGCTATTTTGTGTATTCTTTGGTCCTTTAGAATAAATGTGTACATAAAATTGCTTTGAGGAATTAATGTACAATTCTTTGCTCATAAACCATAATCAGTAAATTCAGGCTAATCATATAAAGCTAATGAGTTAAGTGTAGGTAAAATAAAGCATGCTTAGTAACTATGGTTGGGAGCAAATAAACTAAGTGAAGCTTGGTGGGTGCTCAGAGTCAGATTGCAGTTGCAAACACCTAGCAGCACTTTGCATGAAATGGCTAGAAAAATTGACACACTAAGACTCAGAGTAGAGGTAAGCAGAGGTCTGTTTGATGATGTTGGGTGGGAGAAGATATTGCTGAGGCCTGGATATAATTGGTGCTCTGCACCTCAGCTAATCTGTGAATGAGATCACAGTTGCAAAAAAACCAAGACAACAGAAGGTGAGAAATTGGGCTCATTGTAAGTATCTAAAGCTACTTTTTATCTGAATTCCCTTCAAATGGATTTGCAAAATACAATCTCCTCTGGACCCCAAAGATATTCTAGCAAGAATGCCAAAACTGAAAACATGAGAGGAGCTCCAAAAGGGCACAGATATAAATAGGATTTGGGTCTGATCTTCTTTATTAGATTTTGCTCCATCCAAAATGTGGTTAAATATAGATGGAGATAGATAGCGCATATATATACAGTGGGGCAAAAACGTATTTAGTCAGCCACCAATTGTGCAAGTTCTCCCACTTACAAAGATGAGAGAG